ACGCACATATGCATGCCTTCCCCACTCCCTCCCCCCCCCCCCCCCCTCCACACATGAAAGCATGCGCACACACACACGAGCACACACAAACACACACACACACGCACGCACACACACACACACACACACACACACACAAACCACACACAAACCACACACACGGAGACTCCCTCGATCTAGGCTAAGGCTTGTATGGAGAATCCGTAAGTACAACTACAAAATACACATACACACACACACATAAACACACACACAATACACATACATACATACACACACACCGTGTACCATGTATACGCCCGTCGCAAGAGAAGCACGCAAATCTGCAAATGCACTGGATGTGCACTCACAGATTTTCTCTTATAGCAACGATAGCGAACAAGATCACACACACACACACACACACACACACACACACACACACACACACACCCACCCACCCACCCACCCACCCACCCACCCACCCACCCACCCACCCACCCACCCACCCACGCACCCACGCACGCACGCACGCACGCACGCACGCACGCACGCACGCACGCACGCACGCACGCACGCACACACACACACACACACACACACCATTGGACGCCCATCGCCGGAGGCAATGATAGCGATGCTGCAGCAGAAGCCATTTCAGCTTGTGCTGGGATTGCACCATTAAACAGCTTGCAAGGCTGAAGAATTGACCGCCACTAATCAGCCTGGTCTACACCACACAGCTATGAAGTGGCTTTTCTGGCCAGTGAATCCCTACTTTTTGGTCTTTTTCATTTTTTCACGCACAAACATCACACCACATACTCCGGCATGCACTGGCTGTTGGTAACCACCCAGGAGAATAGAGAGGTTCCGCATAACGTAATTACGTTAGTAAAAAACGTAGTCGATCTACGGAAAGTCTTACGTAAACTGCATGCGCATCTGGGTTCCGCCATACGGAGTTTTCAAATCACGTAGCTGCCCTTGGCAACTCCGAACACGGCAGTGTACGACCAGATCGACCTGGGGAGAGAGTCATAAATTTGTACCCCAATCCACTTACGGACCAGCTACGTTATCAGAGCCCTATCTACGTACTCTCCGTAGACAACTTTCCGTAAGTGGAGTGCAAACTCGCGAATTCACGGGTTTTTCCCGCCCACTAACGTAAAGTTGCTCAACTTTACGTAATGCGGAACCTCTCTAATGAAAGGAAAGTCAGGAGGAGTGAGAAAGAGAAGAAAGACGTGTGTGACCATAATTGTCGGGAATCGAACCCGCAACCTATCGATTGGAAATCGCTGCACATACCACTGCACCATATCGGACACACACACACACACACACACGCACGCACGCACACACACGCACGCACGCACACACACACACACACACACACACATGAACGTACACACAAGTACACACACACGTACACACGCGTACACACACATACAGAACCTTACAGCCGGAGTTGAAGTAAGTCTGCTCAATGTTCAACGGGGAGAGGGTGTCGCCCAGAAGTGGGTATTTGCCAACTGTGCTGCTAAACAGTCCCTTGTTCAAGTTGGCATCAACCACTCCATAGCCGCTCCTAGTAACTGGAGACCAGTTTTGAACCTGCTCAAAGAGTAAAATAAAAGAGAACAGATGGGAACGAGTTATGATGCAACTGTCCACGACCACCACAAGCTAATAGTAGGGCTGAAACGATCATCCATTTAGCCCAATCGATTACTCTTTATCATAACGATCGATTATTTGATTATAATCTTTAAGAGGCCGCACCTGGAGTATGTACGTGGAATGGCCAAAAGTGGAAATATGTACAAAATTTTGCACAAAAAAAGTGTTATGTATGTAGACCGGACGCGACCTTGACCTTCGAGCTTTATGCTCCAGCTTCGTTGTACTACACTAGGCCCTCTGTACTCGATGTTTGAACTCGCGCTGCATGCACTGCGCGTACTACCAAGAGTACATAACCCCCCAGAGTGTGCAACTCCCACATACCCTGGTGTCCCGACAGAATTTCAAGTTGACGTCATTATTTATGACGCAATGCTCCTTGCACCAGTGATTTACAACATGTGTACGGCTGTCAACGCATCACACGTTTTTCTTTGCAATAATTTCTACAGGATCGATCGGCTTCGCTCAACCACAGGTTCCGGATTCGTCTGATAATCCGTGTACAGTGCGCATTGCGTCATCAAAATGACGTCAACTTGAAATTCTGTCGGGACAACACCCATAGTGGAGTTGCGCACTCTGGGGGGTTATGTACTCTTGGTACTACTTATACGTCTTAAGCGGCTGCGACGCAGCGCGTGCAGTGCGTAGTACTGTGTGTAGTATTATACTCTGCGCTGCATGCACTGCGCTGCATGCACTGCGCTGCATGCACTGCGCTGCATGCACTGCGCTGCATGCACTGCGCTGCATGCACTGCGCTGCATGCACTGCGCTGCATGCACTGCGCTGCATGCACTGCGCGCATAAGAAGTTAAAAATTAAAAAAACGCAAAATGATCGTAATCGGTAATCTAAACGATTGCTCGATCGTTAGAGTTATCAAACGAGTACTCGACTATTCGGTATAATCATTTCAGCCCTAGCCAATACGCAGTCGGAAAGTGCGATAACAGGGCACAGCATTGACAGGCTATTCAACAACCTGACACCTAGCTCAAACACATCTCACATTGGTTTCTTCTAGTGTACATTAAATTTATTATTGGCTCAGTATCCGTGGTCAAATAGCGCACAGAGTCGCAACGTGACATTGACGGCACATCACTTCAAATGGTGGTCTTTAGAACCAGGTCCCATTCATTCGTGACATACCGGATTGTGTACATACATGTGCCTGATTGTACTTCCATGTACTCATATTGACAGGTGTGGAGCATAGAATACTTTCCGCAGGCAAAGCACGCCTCGCTCAAGTGCATGCAGTGCATCCTGCGCTGTCTCTTGTCACTTCTGTTCACTGCACGCACTTGCTTCAGATCACCCTGTTATGTATGTACACAATCCGATGTGCCACGAATGTATGGGACCTGGTTCTAAAGACCACCTGGCTTTAACGATCGCTTTTGCTTGCACCGTAGAGTGGTCGCTTGAACCAGGTTTTACCGTACTCACATGCATTACTCATTCATTCCATATTTGGGTGGGGCGGGGGACTCACATGCATTACTGAATACTCATACATTCCATATTTGGCAATGCGCGATGGGCTTATTGTAAAGCAACGGAGGCTGATAACTCACATCATACAGGCTACAGCTGGGTTTTCCATCACCGTTAACGCAGTATAAGAGGTTGTCCGACGTTCCGTCTCTTGCCAGAATGGGCACTTTGCTTCCGCACTGAATGTGCACACGCACATATGCACAGGGACATACACACACACACACACACACACACACACACACACACACACACACACACACACACACACACACACACACACACACACACACAAACACACATGGATATACAAACATAACAGTTACACACACATGTACATACACACAACAACAAACACATGCACGTACACACACACACACCACACACACTACTACTACTACTATCAATCAGCTACCCCTTGGGGTCACGCCGCCCTCCACTCAGAGAACTGAGCGCAAGGTGAGGGGCAGTGGCGCAAACAAAACAGGAAGTACAGCAAAATGAATTGAAAAAAAGGAAATCAAAACAAGCTGCCATATTGATGGAAAGGGACTCACAAACAGAGGAAGGAAATACCACAAACCAGATGAACAGTCTGCTGTAGGTCCACTATGTATAACATGCAACGAATGAAAAAGGAACAAAATTAATGTGAACATGATGTTCTGTTCAACAATAACCATGATAACGTCTGTACGCGTACTGCTTCGGCCTTCATGCACCAGGAAAGCACAATCTTGAGCTGGAGGGTGGGCACCGAACGTCCCACAAGGGCTCCACAAGACGTACTTTCACGAAACGACGAGGAGTATGCGCAGCAAGCTAACATCACTACACCATCGCCGCACGACGACTGGCCACTCAGGTCCAAACAACACGACAAATTCACAATTCCAGCTATCACCGCGCAGGAATAAATTGTTGCGAGTGTGACCTGTATCCTTTCTCATCCAGGAATCCACTTGTTTGGCCGAACGCCATTGCATTGTTACAGGCTGGGGATTGATCCGAGGGCTCGCCACGCCACTGCGGAGGATGCGGAAAGGACGCAAGAAGACGGTGACGGCAACAAAAAAACCAGCCCTGGTCGTCAGCTCACTGAATGTCCTTCCGCGTGAGCGAAACCGGCTGCAAGGCATGACAAGCCTACTGCCAGTCAATACCCAGGGACGACCCTGACCAGAAGGCCAAGGCCGCCCCGTGGAGGAGGCCAACAAAGAGAAAACCAGGAGCTAACAAATCTGCTTCCACACACACACACATACACACACACACACATACACACACTACTACTACTACTATAGCATGACTGCCCATTGGGCAATGTCACCCCCGGAGGGGGCCAGAGTTTGGAGTGCACCGTCATTGGCAGGACTTCTGGTGCCTCGTCAAATCTTGCTGTCGTCGGAAACGTTTCGGGCAATGCATGCAGATCAGCGGCAGTGATTCCCTATCGGCTGCAGCAAGACGTTTTCCACGGTTGCAGTTATGGCGGTTAAAACCAGCCCGGGACTTGAAGCAGCGATTGCAGCGTTGACAATGCTGGAAGCAGCAACTAGCGAGAGACGCCGTCAATGCCGTATCTGCATGTTCAGGGAGTGCAGGCTGGCAGCGATGAACTGCAAGCCCACCCTTACTACGGAACCATCGGCAGCAACTGACGCACTGTGCTGAACCACGCTGTTGGTGGACGGGAAGTTGGCGCTCAGCCAAACACTTGTGCCGTGCCTTGTCTTGAGGACGAGAGAAAGCCCGGTTGCAAGATGAGCAGAGTACGGATTTCTCTACTGCCCGAGGAGGCTGAAAAACCAGAACCTGCTCTCGCCAAGCTGACCGGTCTTGTGCGCAATCAAACCAGTTTGGAATGGACTTCGTGTCAGTAGCCACAACGTCTCTCCACCTACGCCTGGGACCGCAGAAGGGGCGCGCAGCCAACAAACGACCAAACAACAGCTGCAATGGGACACGGTCCTCCGACATCCGAGCCACATGACCAAGCCACTCTAAACGACGATGGCGCATCTTAACAGAGAGTGGCACTGGGTCACCCCAGTGACGACGTAACTGCGCAGACGTGATGCGATCGGATTGCTGCTGACTGCGAGGGATGGCTAATATTGTGCGGATGCAGCGATGATGAAAGGCATCCAAACGTCTACTATCAGCTTTCAAGGGCGTCCAGCACTCACTGCCGTACAGCAAAATGGACAAGACACAGGCCACGTATAGCTTTCGCTTACTGACTAATGACAGCGAGCGATCCGACAAGACTGGAAGAAGAGCTCCAAAGGCTTTGGAAGCCTCAGCTATGCGGCGACTGACGTCAGTAGAGGAGCGGGCATCCGGTGTTACGACGGACCCCAGATAAATGAAGGATGGAACGTGCTCCACAGTATCACCGTTGACGTTCATATCGGCTCTATCAGGCATGTTGACTTGGCTACCTGCCACGAGAAATTTCGTTTTAGCAGCGTTGACGCAGAGGCCAAAGGAAGAGGCAACCGTGCAGAATGTTTCAAGGCACTTCTCAGCACCAGGGCGGTCTTCAGCGAGCAAGACCGCGTCATCTGCGTACTCAATGTCGTTGATGATTGCGGCAGTAGACTGGCGAGCGGGCTTTGAGAAAAGGTTGCCATTGATGCTAAATTGGATGGGGATGCCAGGTGGATGGTCGCTGTCCTGCATCATTTGTGCCCACCGCTCAAGCACAACACCGAAGTACAGATTAAAAAGTACTGGGGCCATCACACAGCCTTGACGGAGGCCATTGTTGACCGCAAACGGCTCGGTAGTGCTGGCACCGACGCGCACAGCTGCCTGCATGCTCTCGTGGAACGATTGGATTAGATTGAGGAGCCCTTCAGGAATGCCTAGCCTCCCCAATGCTAGCCAGAGTGCTTGGCGTGGTACGGAATCATATGCTTTCTTCAGGTCTACGAAGACACAGAACAGCTTCTGACGGTGCTCGTACGATTTCTCGATGAGCTGGCGAATGGAAAAGATGGCATCAGCGCAGCCGCGACCAGGGCGAAAGCCACACTGGGATTCTGGAAGTTCTTGTTCCGCGACAAGTTGGAGACGGTCCTGAATGAGACGGCCACAAACCTTGCCAGCGACATCTAGGAGGGCAATGCCGCGCCAGTTGTTGCAGTTGGTCAAGTCACCCTTTTTGGGAATCGGGACGAGTTGGGCATCCCGCCAATCCTGGGGAACCGTTCCGTTGGTCCATGCAGTGTGAATAACATCAAGCAGAGCCTCAAGCAATGGTGTACCACCAGCTTTAAGCAGTTCAGGTGCAATTCCAGATGAGCCAGGAGCCTTGCAATTAGCCAGCTGGCGTATAGCCATAGTGAGGTCCTCTAGCGAGGGAAGTTGGCCGAGTGACTCATCAACTTCACGCTGCTCAATGTGGTCAAAGATGGTAGCATAGTCGGTGGTGAGCTGGTCTTGGTCGAGGTCGTTCAGGGACTCACGCAGCTCTCGTTCTGCTCCTCGGAGGTTCGTTCCATTGTCCGACCAAATCTGACGAGGTCGACCACGCCTGCCGATCATCCTACGGATGGCCATGATGCAGGCATCCGTGGTCAGTGCATGTGCAACTTCCAAGTGCACAGCTCTCGTGCTCAGGCAGGTGAACAGCACACCATACCTCTTCTCGTGCCGACGTCCGACCGCCACTGTCATCGGTCCGAAGTAATCCATGCCAACCACAGTAAAGGCTCGAACAAATGGTGTGAGACGAGTGCTCGGCAGGGGTGCCATCTCTGGCGCAGCTGGCTGTGCTCTGTCGTTGCTGCACTTCTGGCAAGTGTTCCAAGAACTTCGGACGGCTCGTCTCAGCCCCAGGATGAGATAGCGCTGCCGCAACTCATTGCACACACGCTCTTGCCCTTGATGACATGACGCAACATGATACCACGCAATCAGCAGCCGGGTGAAAGGGTGACTCGGATCGAGCACAACTGGCTGCTTGACCATGTCAGGCAGATCAGAGGAGTTGACCAGTCGGCTGTGGTGACGCACTACTCCATCAGTGAGCACAAGCGACAGATGTGACAAGCGGCTGTCCTTGTCCACGGGCTTGCCCGACTCGATGCTGCGAACTTCAGCAGGGAAACAGTCGGCTTGCACTTGCTGCCACCATAGACGCTCTGCACTCTCAAGCTCCTCAGGTACTAGCTCTCCTGGGGGTGGTGCTGATGTACGTAGCGCTCGGTGCTTCAAGATCTTGACGAAGCGGAGTACCCAAGCGGTTGCACGGACCAGTCTCATCCACGATGAGAAGCGACTAGAATCAGGTAGCGCTGCATTCCGCACACACTCACTAGACACAGCTGTGGCTACAAACTCGCCTTTCAGCTCGATGCTGGGACTTGAGTCGGCAACTGCAGGCTTGACATCAAGCGGCCACTGCTCTGGCGGACTCTGCAGATACTCTGGGCCGGTCATCCATCTGCTGCCAAGTGTCAACTCGTCGCTGGCCAGACCACGCGTAGCGTCATCAGCAGGGTTATCCTTGGTGGGGACCCAGCGCCACTGACTGGGATCCGTCGTCTCAGCGATCTCACCAATCCTGTGGGCAACAAACGTCTTGTAAAGTCTGGCTTCTGACTTGATCCACAGCAGGACAGTACGCGAGTCGCTCCAGAACGTTGTGGAGCTGATCGGTAGATCAAGCTGCTTGGTGATTGTGTCTGCCAGACGTGTTCCCAGCACAGCAGCTTGCAGCTCAAGACGAGGAATACTGAGCGGCTTGAGCGGGGCGACGCGAGCCTTTGCTGCAACAAACGAAACGTGTACAGCACTACTCTTGCTGGTGGCTCTGATGTACGCTACAGCTGCGAATGCTTTTTCGCTAGCGTCGACAAACAAGTGCAGCTCTAATCTCTCGGCGTCTGCTAGCGCAGGATGGTAGCACCGTGGCACCTGCAGCGACGCAACTTCATGCAGGCCGGCTTGCCACTTCGACCAGCGCTCAGCCATATCATGGGGCAGCTCATCGTCCCAGCCAAGGCCTGACCTCCATACGTCCTGCAGTAGTATCCTGGCGGTAACGGTGTACGCCATCAGGAAGCCAAGGGGATCGAACACCGACATCACGTAGCGCAGTACTGTCCGCTTGGTTGCCGAGACGCTGTCGGGCTGTGCTGATAGCTTTGCTCCAACGGCAAAGCTGAGACAGTCGCTGTTCGGGTTCCATATGAGGCCAAGTGCCTTCTCTGTGGAAGCGTTCCCGGTGGCTAGATTCACCACTTCAGATGAACGAAGTTGGGTGGGTATCCTCTCAAGAACCTGGGACGAGTTACTGACCCAGTTCCGGATCTCGAATCCTCCCCTCCGGTGAATCTCAATCACCGCTGCCGAACGGCTGATTGCATCACACTCCGTAGCTGCACTGTCGAAATAGTCATCCACATAGTGGCGGTCAGTGATGGCTGTGACAGCTTCAGGTAGATCCGGACCAAAGACGGTGGCACTATGGTTCTTCACATGCTGAGCTGTGGTTGGAGATGACACTGCACCAAACGTCATCACCTGCATCTCGAACACATCTGGAGGGCGACTGCGGTCGAGGCCTCGCCACAGGAAACGTTGGGCCGGTCGGTCCTCTGGCCGCACACTGACTTGGTGGAACATTTCCCGAATGTCACCACCGAAACCATACTGAAAACGCCGAAAGTTCAGCAGCACTTGCGTCAACGGCGTCAGCAGGTCGGGTCCAGGCATCAAAAAGTCATTGAGGCACTTGCCATGCGAGCATACACACACACACACACACACACAAACATGTACGTATCCACCGCGCTAGGTTGCGCAAGTCGACATCACGCCGTGAAGGCGCTGCAGGATAGATCGCGGTTTCAGATAGAGTGCACGGGGTGTAGGAGTGTGGACAGTGCACAGCAGGGCACATTCCAGCGGTGTGTCTCCCTGGCCAATATATGCAGAGCACAAACGGAAAAGACAACGTGCACGAACTACACAGGCATAAGGAGTACAGTAGGTATCGGTTATAGCGTGGGTGTTTGAAAAACGACTTTCTATTCTTATTTCCGATATTTCTTACACACGATAAATCAAGTTTGACATATCATAATTTATGCATGTGCGCAGGGGCAGGAAGATCATTGTACGTGCAACGTAGTGCTACTGTGCATGCGGCTAGTCATAGCCCCATAGCAAGAGTACATAACCAAGAGTGTGCAACTCAACGATCCCCCAGCCCAGGGCGGAATTTTTTTTACGACGACAGTCTTTGGCGGCGGTTGGGCTCACTGATGCCATCATGCGTAGCCAGAGATCAGAGTACAAATGATTTGTACATTACAGCTACGGTAGTCGAAGCAGAACAACGGACGATAGATCGATGTGTCTTGAACCTGATGAACGCTCACCGTATCTACTAAACAAGCGCGGGAAAGCATACACACTTCATCATACTTCTGCCAAAGAATGACGCAATAAAAAAATTCCGCCGCGGGTGAACCCATCGCAGCTCAGGAAAGGAGTTGCACATTCTTGGTTATGTACTCTTGCCCATAGGCATAGCGAGTACTAGTATGCTGATTTGAGGGGCAGATTGAGCGGTTGTTCTCTGCAAACAACAGGTAACAGATATACAAAGCTTACAAGGAAAGTGCCTGCGCATGATGCCGCGTCCTTAGTCAGGTTCAACTGAAACGGGAACATGCACACACGCGCACACACACGTGCACATACGCACGCGCACACACACACACACACACACGCGCGCGCGCACGCACAGATCTCTTCAGTGCCATTCACTTCACCAATACCTAAAAATGATGGTCGGCCATAGCTGCAGGAGGTGTCATAGAACTGATTTCCATACTTGGAAAGTGGGCTTTGAGCTGAAATTCAGGCAAAAATGGGTTTCCAAAACCGGCCAACATTCCCGTATATGGATGAATGTAAGTCGGTTATCCACGCTGCCGTTCTCTATAGTACATGTACTTGAAAGTAGGAAAAGACGGCGGCATATTTGTGGCAGTGCCGCGCAATGTATTTATTGTAGTAGTAGTAGTAATACTACTACTAGTAGTAGTAATACTACTACTCCTAGTATTAATTTATGAGTATAATAGGAGACCCTACAGACGGTGTCGTCTTATTACAGAAAACCCTATGAATGATTGACACAATTGAACAACCTCTGAGCGAGAGGTAGCGGTAAGGCAGGCAGCAGGTAATGCACTCCAGCGATTGCACTACCGTATGCGATGTTCGCATGCACCCACTGTTGAAGTCCGGGGAGAATACGGTAGCACAGACATTGTCCGGGTCATTGGTGTATTTCTCCACATTGAAGTACTATAGTCTGTTTCAAAAAGATTTACAATCAGGTTTGGGTCTTAAAAAGTATGAAGGTAAGGGAAATTTGGACAACAAAGTACATAGAATGGCTTGTTAGGACACGGCAAATTGTTCTGTGAAGGTTTCGGAACAATTGGACCCACCATTAAGGAGTTAGAATTTCGGCCAGGTTTCCGGCCTTTTCCCATGGTTTACAATTTGCCCAGGAAGCCAGTATCGATTTTTTATCAAAACCCACGATTTATCCTTTCCTTTTTGGCCTTGTGGTTATGAATGCTGTCTGCTGACCATGAAGTTGTGAGTTCAAATCCCAACCTATCCTCAAGTCAAACTTTTTTTCATTTGTTTCGGTGATCAAGCTGGTACATGTACAAGACAAAGAAGATGGCTGCACCAAACGACTTGTTGTTGGAGCTCCCGCTTCCTGCCGAACTGACTGACACTTGACTGGCTCACGCCATGTGAACACACCCACAACACTGCAATGGTGTGAGTGAATTATAATGGAAGTCATCGCGCTGTAGCTTTTTGAGATTTATTTTAGTATTTCAAGATCGCCAATTTATTTGAATTTAGCAGTCAACGCCGTCTTCTATCAGCGTCCACAAGCGTCTGCTTTTCTCAAAAAATTAATGTCGTCGAAGTCACACGAATAGCTTTGCCAAGTCATGCCCTTGGGAATGAGTTCGTGTCGATGTCGTTTTCGTCACACGGTGAGTAAATTGCATCGCAGCTCAAAGAAACTATTTTGGTCACAAAACGAATTGGGACCCATGCCGCTCGTCAACATTTACAACACTTTCGTTTCGACATGTCCTCTCCGGGCTGACTCCATTGTCGATACGAGGAAGAACTCGTTTGTTGTAATAATAACCAGACGTACATGCATGACTGTATCGACGTGAGTGAGTTGTCATTTTTCCTGTTTCGCGCGGAATATTTCTTCGAGTTCACAGTGAGTTTTTCCAGGCAGCGCTCGAGTGCTCATACGGTAAGACGCCAAACTCCGCGGGCGATCGCCAGGATTGTAAATCTTTTTGAAACGGACTGTAATAGGTCCGGATAAGAACTACCACTGTAAATAGAGTCAAAAGCTTCGGAAGTCACTTTAATTTCGGCTATATTTGGCACCGGTCCAAAATGTCAAAATCAAAACACTAGTGAATTTTTTTCACATCAGCTTTGGCGATGTACTAGTATTATCCCCCTGTTGAAAAAAGAACGCTGCAGAAATGTCGAAAATCGTGAAATGCCGAAATTTTGCAGTACAGAAATTGTGTATACAGGAAAACCTGGTGTAAGCGACCTCTGGGTTTAGCGACCACCTGCTCTTTACGACTTTTTTTCATGCACCGACAGTTCTACACAGACAGACACTGCGTGACCTGGTTCTAAAGACCACCTGGCTTTAACGACCGCTTTTGCTTGTGTAGCATATAGCGTGCATTTGCCTCCGAGAGAGACTGCGGCCCGCTACACTTGCACCGTGGGGTGGTCACTAAAACCAGGTTTTACTGTATTTAGAGTACATCAGGTATGCTAAGTCCACATTCCTAATCTCAATGGAGTTCGTCTTATCAGCGTTCCACAGTACCGTGTTCTGATAAGACAAGTCCGACCGAAGCTGATAGAGACCATTGCTGTGCACAACACGCAGACATAGCAGCGGCAGCAGCAGCAGCAGCGGCAGCACCAGCAGCACCAGCAGCAGCGGCAGCAGCAGCAGCAACAGCAGCAGCAACAGCAGCAGCAACAGCAACAGCAGCAGCAACAGCAGCAGCAGCAGCAGCAGCAGCAGCAACAGCAGCAGCAGCAGCAGCAGCGGCAGAGAAGAACATTTCCACAGAAGGATGCGAGTTACACAAGTTAGCAGTGGAACTCTACGAAATAGTGCTCGCGGCTTCGGCGATGGTTTGTTTGGAATGGGTTTGCTACCCACACTGGAGCTCGGGCTAATAATGAGTCACAAATTTAACGGTTGTCCGAAACGAGAAGATCCGTCAACGATCTTGCCGTCTTCAGGCATTCACACACAACATACTTGTTACAATAATAGACTTACTTCACGCTAACGACGACAAACTTGTATGATGCCTCAAAGAACACTAGCATTCCGGTGATCTCATCTTTGGGTGTGTTGTATGGACAAGGCTGATCAGAGTGCACCGTTCTCATTGCTGTGCATGCACACACACATGCACGCATGCGCACAGACGCAGGCACACGCACCGCACATGCACGCATGCACACACACACACGCACACATACACACATATACATACAAGCACACACACTCACACACACACACGTGCACACACACACACACACCCACGCACACATCAACGCACACAGAGGAGTTGATTATTGCATGATCTCTATTCAGATGCAACTGCCATCACTGGAATTCCCTATTGCAGGATATACAAAGTTGCTAAATAGATTCATGAACAATGCAGAGTGTATTTAAAATTAACAAGGTTACGTGAAGCCCAAAGTGTGCAGCTCAGATGGGTTGCTGTAACAGCGAAATCGGATTACATCATTTTAAAGATGTAATACAAATAAGCAGGATTCGATCAGGTCTCCTGCTGCACAACTGCAGCTCAATGGTACATACTACGCCACTTCCCGCCTCAGATCTGCACCAACTGTGATGTTACCCCGGCCCGGAACCTTCGCCGTGACGGACACCCATGCAGAAATGTCACAAGCTGCACACTGTGGGTGTCACGAACTCCTGGCATTAATCTAGAGGTTTAGACCACTTGCCACAGCAAGTCCCGAACGGTTGAAATTGTGCCGTGTTAGAGTAGTAGAAGTGAAATGTCTACATGACTCACTTTGTAGTTCTCTAGTCTCTTTGTGCTCCTCTGGGTCCTCTTTCTGCTTCAGTCCAGTCCAGAACATTTGTGATAATAATAAATATAACCATTATAACAGCCATAACAGGCAAGGTACGTTCGGGCCTGATTGGAAATTTTTATTTCCACTGCTATCAGGTTCGGCCTCATTTCCTCTGTGCTGCGCTGACGAGTCCACAAAGGACGAAACAGTTCTGTCCGCAGATTGACCATTATAACAGCCTATAATTCCGTGTTCTGAGACCGTATAAACTGAGTAGTCTAAGTTGTACACATAGTACAGTAGTCCCAATCCCTTATTTAGACTTTTTTTTTATCACATTGCACATACCTACGGAAGAAGGGGGAGACAAAACGAAGACGAAACAAAAAAGACAACAATGGGTGTGTAGGCGCTACATGAGCTGCGCTGGTGAGATGCAGTGAACTCCCCCGACCAAGGGTCTCGGGATCGGCGTACACAGCAAGCACCATGGGAGAGGGGGGGGGGGGGCGAGAGGAATGGCGGAGAGAGAGAGAGAGAGAGAGAGAGAGAGAGAGAGAGAGAGAGAGAGAGAGAGAGAGAGAGAGAGAGAGAGAGAGAGAGAGAGAGAGAGAGAGAGAGAGAGAGAGAGAGAGAGAGAGAGAGAGAGAGAGAGAGAGAGAGAGAGAGAGAGAGAGAGGGAGGGAGGGAGGGAGGGAGGGAGGGAGGGAGGGAGGGAGGGAGGGACGTCAGGCGAAATAGCACGTCATCGTACATTTGAGATCAGCGGGAAGAAGATGACGACGTCCACTAATTTAGTATCTGTGCACACGAATCTGCTGTGTGTGTGACTCTGTGTGTCAGCTATGATATCATCTTCTGTGGTTCCATGCCTAGCATGTACGTCTGAACCATCCTGCAAAGTTTGAATGACGTAGGTTGAGCGATCGCTCCGCGAAATATACTTTTTGAAATTCTCTTCATAGTATATCTTCCACCATTGAAATTTCGAATTTCTTCAAAAAAAGTGCTGAGAGGGGTGGCTTGCAACCTCGATATGGCTTGTTCCAGGCATGCTTTGGAGCCATCTTCTGTTGAAGTAGTGGCGGGGATCTGCCCTGCAACTGCTACAACAAAAAATGATTTGATCTGAGAAAGGGTGAGACCGCGAATCTCGGTTGAATATTGAGTATTTCAAGCCTTTTCACGACGAAGATGGAGTTCTTTTTGGAGATGGACGTCGCGGCAAAGGACATGGTGTCCGACGTCTGGCGTCTGGTGAAGCCAGGGATCATTTGTCCAGTCAGGTCGGCAGCCTAACCGTCGGTAAGCTTGTGTTTGGATCCCGTTCTGCTCGATGTGGTAGATCACAAACAATTTGATATCGCACAAATTGATCTCAGCATCGTGCGTACGGTATTTTATATTCAGAAAATCCCAAAGTGTCTCTGTGTGGCCGTCCTATGCCACGAGAAACTCCAATCAGGCTCCTATGTCCTCTGCCTTCATGATTGAATGTCCACTTCGTTTGAACAACGAACACAACAATCGAGGACGGCTTTGCAATGAAAAATACAGATACTGGAGCTGAAAAAAAGAAGAAAAAAACGTGCTCAGGATGAGACTCGAGTACACGCATACTCTCCCAGCAGGTGAAACGCAAATTTTTGTGAAAAATGCGTGACGCCGACTGACCAGTAATTTCGCCTGACGGGGAGGGAGGGAGGGAGGGAGGGAGGGAGGGAGGGAGGGAGGGAGGGAGGGAGGGAGGGAGGGAGGGAGGGAGGGAGGGAGAGAGAGAGAGAGAGAGAGAGAGAGAGAGAGAGAGAGAGAGAGAGAGAGAGAGAGAGAGAGAGAGAGAGAGAGAGAGAGAGAGAGAGAGAGAGAGACAGAGGGAGAGACAGACAGAGGGAGAGAGAGAGTGCACAAGAAAGAAGAGAGAGAGAGAGAAAGAGAGAGATGGGTAAGTGAGGGAAAGAGAGTGAAAGAGGTGGAGAGATATAAGTATAGAGAGAGAAAGAGTTCAGCGGCATATCGTCGCTATGACTATAATGCTACTTTGAGAAGAGGGTCAACATAATGATTTGCGTCCACTGATGGCAGGCCAGTGTGATAGATGTGCATGGCTAGCACCAGTCATGAGCAGAGCACCAGTCACTCTGTTGCAGGTGACGGTATGCAGCAATCTTGAATCTCTGCAGGTGTTTCCGGGCTGGCTGCTTGTCCAGAATTGCCTGTGGCAGTCTATTCCACACTGGCACGATGCAGTATGGGAAAGAGCGCAGAAGGTAATCAGGAGCTCGTGGCGAGAGATTCAGCTCAAGCTGGTGGGGATGGTGCTGTGCTTGGGCTGCTCGAGTGCGGCGATGACGTGGCGGTATAGCCGGCGGGGGACACATGGCTGCAACTTGAGGCAGACCATGGCCACACATCAGTTTGTACAGTAGGCAGAGAGCAGAGACCTTTCGCCGAACAAGGAGGCTGGGAAGAATCGTACCAGGGCCAATGACCTTTAGGGCGCGGAGCTGGACAGCATCCAGCATGGCCAGGTGTGAGGGGGCTGATCCCATCCACGCAAGGGGGGCATATTCCAGCATTGGCCGGACGAATCCTTTGTAAGCAATCACCCTGCCCGCGTGGCTGAGGAGGGGTGCTGCCTTCCGCAGGAGGCCCAGCCGCTGCTTAGCACGTGATGCCTACATTGGCTACCCCTCATGGTAGAGCTTTCATCAGTTGAGTTTCAGCGGCGGCGGACACGCTACGATCGCTACGGAATTAACCGTACCGCTCTTTGCCCCCGGTACCCCGTGAATCAATAAAATGCCCCATATTTCGGGCTTTAAATTTTCAAATTCTTCAGCAGAGACCCCCGGCGCCGCCTCGAGTTTACGTCAGATGGCTGACCGTACGTACCACCCTGACATACCTTCCGACGCCCCTTAGCTTGCTGCGGAGAAGGACTCGATTGGATTGCGCAAACCGTGGAGATATTTGCCAACACCAAGCCAAGGACGTTGGGTGGCTCAGACAAAGGAATGATCGGCCATAAGATGTTTCGGTTTGCTCCTTCTTTTTCCTGTTTATGTCCTTATGGTCGGTTTTTCGGGCCTGTTAGTAGAAGTACGTAGTACTGCTGAGCCACAGAAGTAAAATAAATTCAATACAAAATCCAATGTTAATGTACGGTATTTTCCAGAAGTATAAGCCGCACTTTAAACACTCGAAATTCACCTCCAAAAAGGTCAGCGAGGCGTACGCTATGATGGTCCAATGAACCGTGGTACTTCCTCCGTTAACAAAAACTTCGTGATGGATTTTGATGGATATGAAAACGCTTAGAACAGGTCAAGAACAGTTTGTATCGCCTGCAAATTACTGGACGACGGTGATTCAGCCTATGTACAGCGCTTTTACAAGAGAAACTGTTGGCGGAATGAGCAGAGAGTTCAGTTTGCGTCGCTTTCGCTCGATTCATTTTTGACCTGCGTCGCTGTCGTCATCTGCTGCACGCGAATCGTCATCTGCTAGCTGTACGCGAGTCGTCATCTCTCTCGAGTCGTTGTGCAGCTCGTTTCAGCCTTGCCTAGGCTGCTTTGATCACACTCCGCTTGATGTCGCCGCCGTTCAAGTAAGTTTGCTTTCAAGCTGCGTGATCCGCCGCGATGGCGATTACTCGTTTCCACCAGGGACTCGTGAAAAATATTTTACAACACCCTGGTTTCATCTTCGCTCTCCAGAACTCCGCGAAACGAGGAGTAAAGGCACAGCTAAACTGATTCCAATTTCTCTAATGGATACCAGCACCGAACGGCAGCGGCTAGCAAGTCCAATCGACTTTCTTTAGCCACGAGACGCGCATCTGACTGCAGACTTCTGAAAGAATGCATGGTCATCAGCATTCGAATCTGGGCTTTGCGCAGGTTGAACAAGAACTAACGTGTTACTTCAGTTCAGAGTTATTTTCATTGAGCCGTGCGATCGGAGCAGCTCCTTGTTCACTCGCTCATTGTGTGGGCTCGCTGCTCCGTTTTATCGCTCTCTATCACTCTCCAACGTACTCAGTGCCAAAGTGGTAGAGAGGCCAAGCAGCGCAATATCCCCTCGGAGAAGTGGCATTTCAGTTTCGCTCGCCATGACTGTCATCACCTATGTTTCCCCAGCGCAACCATCGATTCCGCTCGGCTCGTTGTGAAAGGTCGCTTTCCTTGCATCGTACCTCTGTCATGGCATGCCAGGGGAGGCCAAGAAAGTGATTGTGACTCATTTCACGGCAGTTTGTGCCGAAATCAGCCCCTCAAAATTCCATCACGAAGTTTTTGTTAACGGAGGAAGTACACAGGGCAGATATCTGTAGTGTGTGCCAAAAATCTGGTTGCGGCGTCGTCTTATACTCCAGTGCAGCTTACACTCCGGAAAATACAGTAAGCTTAGCTGCTTCAAGTCAATATGCAGGGGTATAGCAGGTACCCCTTTCGGCCGCGGTCACACATGCACTTTTTTTGGCGGAAAGTTTGGATTTCGCTACGCCAAAAAAATGCGAGCGGAACCTCCGCTTTCGCGGATCCGCTTTGGCGGAACCTGCATAGTGATGGCTTTGGAGTTTGGTGTGCTACCTCTGCACTGAGCTCTGGTGTTGTTTGGTTGCCGTTTAGTATTCAGTTTTCATATTGTTCTTCTTTGCCAATGAACTGTACGTTCTGGAGATCTCGCAAACAATACTGCATTGTTATGAGTGGATAGTTGGTGAGGGAATCCGAATCCTAACTCATTGGCCCCGATCGCGGACGATCTCCAATCTCCAAGCAATGCGTTCACCAGAGTGTGCCACACTAGGACTGCAACCAGGGAGTAGTAGAGTACTCTGCCACAGCGGAGCGTTGAGGAGCACAGTAGTACATGTATCTGTGACCGCTGCATCGTGTGTTCCGCGAAAGCGGCTGCGGTAGTTACGCTTTTCGCCTCCGCAAATGCGGTGCAAGCTTTTCATGTGTGACCGCGGCCCTAGGGGGATAGCAGGTCCCCCTTTAGGGGGTAGCAGGTCCATGAATGAGTTGTCATTGAGTGCAGATTGTCAAGTTTCATTTTCTTTTTCTTTGAAAATTTGTTCGTTTTTGTTTTGCTGTTTCTTTAGTTGTTGCATCAGGCCATGCAGTGATATCATGTTGTGTGATTGCCCGTGTACACTGTAAGAGGCTTGTTCAAAATCAGGTCCCCCTTTAGGGAGGGTTGCACGGCCATATGTATGTACATGTAGGATGGCTTGTGTGTGTCATTCATGGTCATTCTGTGCACACTGACACTAGGTCGAAATTTTAGAGGGGGTGGGGGGGGGGGGGTGTACAAGTGCCCCTGTGCCCAATGCGGGCTGCGTGCCTGCTATGCCTTAGCATGCAGCATGTCCACGGGCAACGCAGGTTTGTTGTTGTCAGCCACGCCAGTACGCTCACGCCTCAGCTATCTGGACACCGAAGTCCCGGCACTGCTCGCGACTTGAAAATGTCCGCCAGTAACTCTGAATTGCATACGTTTCAGATGAGGAACGGCCAGGGTTATGTCATTATGACGTCACTATGTCCACAAACATGACAAAAAGAGTAGTGATATTATTTCCACGGAAACTCGCCCGAAGGGTGCCCGGTAGACCGAAGTGCCCGCAACTTCGGGGTCCGAATATCCGAGGTGTGAGTGCTAAACGAGGTAGCGGTGCATAGAAATAAGAGAAAAGAAGAAAAGTGGGCGGTGAAGTGTTTGTGAAACTCCGGGGTGGGGAGGGGGGGGGGGGGAGGGCATAACCCTACAGAAGTCTTGCACTTACTATGCACATTCCAGCAGCTAATCGTCACGGCTCCATGCACAGACGGCGCTGCCAATGAGACCAGCAGAAACGCTAGCAGCAGTAGTGCCATTCTAGCCGGCGCGACCGTACACGTTCTTGACGCTGACGGTCTACTTCCGTGCCGTCCAGCCATCGCCCTAAACAAACACACGCACATACACATACACACACAGTCACACACATGCACATGTACACACACACACACACACACACACACACACACACACACACACACACACATACACACACACACCTCAGACCTCAGACATGCCCATCGCGGGAGCGATGATAGCGAACAGCTATGTTAGACATAGCAACTTGTGCTGGGATTACACCATTCAACAGCTTGCAAGGCTGATGAATTGACCGCCACTATTTTTAGCCTGGTATCCACCACACAGCTGTTTGAAGTGACTTTTTCTGGCCAGTGAATCCCTATTTTTGATTTTTTCAATTTTTTCTTTTTCTACACACACACCACACTACATACTCCGGCATACACTGGCTGTTGGTAACCACCCAGGAGAATGAAAGAAAAGTCAGGAAGAGTCTGAGAAAGAGAAGAAAGACGTGTGTGACCATAATCGTCGGGAATCGAACCCGCAACCTATCGATTGGAAATCACACACACACACACACACACACACACACACACACACACACACACACACAAGCACACACACACACACACACACACACAGGCTCCAGTCTTCCATCCGCCTTACATGTCACTAAGTAATTAATCACAAGGCCTACCGAACTGCGGTTGTTCATCTGGCCAGAGGCAGACTGGAGCGACTGCTTGTTGGTCTAGCCGGAGCCAAGTCGAACTGCAAGAAATGAATGAACCCAGGGCCAGGAGCTAGCTGGATTCTCTCTGCCTTGGCCAAGCGGGAAATTTGTAAAATAAATCGTACAACTCCGCGGATATAAGTTCCAGCCGCAGTACTAATCGAATAGGTGACTTTCAATGCGTGGTGTGCAGTGCTTAGTTATGAAGTCCCAGCTAACGCCGGACGACTAGCGATACCACCAAGCTTTCTCCTAAGCCTTATCCTAAGGACAGCATTCCAATTCTTACTGGTCTTCTTTGGCGTTTGGCTCGCGTCGCTCCTCGCCAAGTGGGTCGAGAGAACTAGAGGTGAGAGAGCGTGGCGAGGAATGCTGTAGCGCGTACAGCAGATCTGGCGTTCTCCCTGCGAGCCCAACTGGAAACTCTGACACGATGTGCAGCGGCACGAGGAACGCGCTTGTTGGCGCGCCGGTGTTCTGTACCGGTTGCTGCAACCAACGGCCAGTGCACTAGCGTCCGTGTTCAGCCAGCTAGCAGCTGACTTAGAATGATGTATCACTCCAACACCGACGTGCTCCACGGCCACGCGGTCAGTTGGCTGATGAAGACGAGGACGTTAGTTGCAGACACGCCCGACCGCGACTGGGCGCGGGACCAATACACATGTATTAATTTTATCTACTTGGCATGCAAGAAGAAGGCGACTACAAGCGGAAAATCACACTCAGTTGCCCTGCACCAAATATGCGCTCGATCAGGAAAGCTGTTGCTCAGCCTCGGGACTCGAGGAAGTTAGTTTAGAGAGAAGGTTAGACGGAAACAGAAAAGCGAGCTGTTGCCAGAAGTGGAGCGATTTCGCTGAAAATGATGATTGGGTTGCAGGCTGCTGACAGTTTTCAAACGAACTAAGTGATTAGTTACTGGAACCATGGGGCATGTGTGTGCAAGTCGTCCAGGCTGTACTCCCCTGTAGATCTACTGTAGTCTGTAGTCTGTAGTACGGACGCCGATCCTATCTGCCCGATCTGGCCCACTCAGCCGCTGTTCGATGCACGATGACAAACTAGGACCTCCCCGTCCCATGCCCATCTGAGTAGGCCGTCCAGAGGACCAGAACTGTCGCCTACTAGTACTATAGTATCACTCGCACTCACGTCACTTACTACCGAGTTCAGACTGCCAGTGTCAAAAACGCTAGCGCACGTGTATCAAGATTTGGGCAGTGTCTGGCTGGACAAACATGTCCACACTGACCAGAGCGCGATCATATGGGGCGAGGCAGGGTCTGCTACAGACTCGGTAGATCGATCTATTGTGTCTAGTACAATGTAATAGACTCTAGGAGGCCTATTATTTTTGTGTAGCGATTTATTTCCTTTACCCGGCCCGTACTGTACAGCTGGTGGTCACGGCTCGAACCCGATCGGGTCCAAATCGTGACCTCTCGTCGGCGCGTCTCCCATCCAGTAGATCTACGGCCTAGAACTCTTTTTTCAACTGTCTTATTGATGCAGACAGCCAGACTGTTTCGGCCAATGAGGCCTCATCAGTGCAACTCCGAGGATGGAACTGTCAGCCATGGCTACGAGAACCACAGACATTAGGACAGCTTGATGTACTAGCGCTGAGAGTGCTCAAACTGCTAGAAGCAGCGGGCAAAGCATAAAGCTAACCGGCGCAAGTGCAAACTGTCTTATTCACAAATCTGCTACACCATGTACATGTTGGTCTTTTCCTACTAGCACGAGTAGTACAATCTTGCAGAAGCAGTAAATTGTAAAGGCCATTCCGAGAAGCGGTTCAGGGGAACTGTTACATTTTATTATTGTAGTTTACCGTTGACTTGGACCAGTATGACAAGTGCTGTACTTATGCACTTCGTGTTGGATGTGAGACATGAGGGAGGTGCCTTACGGAGGTGTGAACTCGCCTCTCACATGTACTATTATTGACTATTGAGGTATGCAGCAGCACCGGAACACGTACAATAGACCCCAGGCTAAATATAGCTACCTGAAGTATGCACGTGGCAGGTGCATAACGAAGCGACAGAGACATGCAGAACACGTGTAGATCTACAAAAATAATAATAATAATTCGCGGGATTCGCGTTGGCATCGCTTGAATGTTCAGAAACACACAAACTAGCCTTCGCTACAATAGCCTTTCTAATTACAGTGAAACCTCGTTAAAAAGAACACTGATAAAACAAACTTTCGCTCTAAGACAAACTAGTATTCATAACTCTATTGGATAAATCACTGTGTAAGATATGGATAAGAAGAACTCCCGTTATTGCGAACAAATCCCGTCGGTCCCTTGATGTTCGTCCTAAAGAGGTTTGAGTGTATTATCTAATTACAATGTATAACTTGCCCTGTGGTCTGATGAGTGGGTTTGAACACGAAACTCGGAGTAAGGAGAAAGCGTTTGGTCTCTGTGTTGTTCTGCCTTGTGCAGACACTTTGTCTAACTTGACGTGCCATGTATTTACATGTACATGTACAGTCGTGTAAATACAGAATCGACACAACTACAGACACACAGAATCGAGTCCTGCTGATTGTACACATTTCAGCCTCGTTCGCTAGCTATAAACACGTGTGTGTGTTTTGGCTCTGTCCAGCTCGTGCAGTCGTGGTATCGAACTCGTGTGCAAGGATTTAGCAACAGGCAATGTAGTTTGTGCGGCCCGCTCCGCACCACTGGTGGTTGACCACATTCACTACTCTTACAGCACCCACCTTGTACGTGATGGATACCGGAAGGACATTATCCTTGGGATTCTCTCTCAAGAACATACATGACTGTACAATCATGTACCGGCACCTGTAACCACCAGACTCTGAGTAACAACACTAATTTCAGCCGCGTTCCATTGCTAAACCACCTGTCCTCGTGACATTACAGACTATACAGTATTATCGAGCACGTTCGCAAGGATTTAGCAACATACGTCATGTACATGTATGTTGTAGCTTCGGCAGACTACACAGTACACAGTACACGACCATGTACACAACCTCTGGATATTACTGGTACTAGTAGTACACTATTATAACCCAATGATTAGTTCAAAACTTGTATTAGATAAACCTTGTTATAATAGTTCACGCATATTGTTAGATTGACAGCATGAAACAGGGACCGGGGCTCTGCCAACCGCGGAAGGTTGTAGTAAGGTCACTGTTTCCGAACACAGCGCCCTCGGCCTCCACCTTGTTTCATGCTGTCAAACTAACATATTTATAGTAGTGTACATGGACATCATGATTGTACACGTACATGTATAATCAAGAGTATAGTACATGTACCTGTATGTAAAGTTAATTCCAAGACTGCAAGAGTACAAAAGCTCCAATTATCCTTGGTATAATCAAGAGTCCATAATAATAATGAACTCTTGGTATAGTACATGAATGCACTGTAGCTGGTTAAGTTAACCGGTTCGCCCTACCGGCACAGGAACAAGCATTATTTTTTAAGTAAGTCCCACAGCTACAGGTACCGGTATATCATGTATGATTACTAACCGATTAGGAGGTCTATTGATGCTATATGGACCGAGTAAAGGATCGAGGTCTCCGAGGTAATGTCTTCTATAATACATGTACATGTACATGTACTTCTGTTTACTTTCTGCTATCATACTTCAAAGTACTAGTACCGGTAGAAGTTGGTGGTAAGGCGGACATACACATGCTCTCGTTACTGTATTTACACATTACACATTACACACACAAAAAACGGTGCTGGCCGACCGTCGAAAATAGCGTGAACGGCAAAATGCTAACCATTGTATAATGTCATGTAACATGACTGGCTATTTAAGGTCTATACTCTATTGTAGTCTTCTAAGGAGTCAAATACAAACAGTCAACGCATGCATATTTGACTACTTAGGCGACGTATATCTGTTCACCAATGGTGAATCCGTTCTCATTTGAATCGTGGTTTAACCGTATTGTCCAGTGGTCTTGCCAGTATCGTCATCGACATGCATGAGCATCCGCCAACGTACTTCACAGCTGAGACTTTCAGCTCGTGCTTGTCTTGGTTGCGCTCACCTTCCCCTCCTCATGGTATTTCTATAACTTAAAACCTTCCAAGTTGGAAGGCTGTTGGAGTACGCATCCAAGATGTGCTAGAGCTCTTAGCCAATTAGTTGTAGAAAGTCAGTACCGTCGTTCAGTGTCGTGCAATATTATCGCATGAGCTGATTGTTTAGTAGCTGGTGGTGTTAGTGGACATTATAGCGTAACTTATAGTTTCATCGTTTTATTGCACATTGTCTCCACAGTTTTACATTACATGAATACAGTGTACACAAAATGTCGATCCAGCTTGTATTACTGGTTGAGGTTAATAATAATAATAAGTAGCAAATAACGAGAAAAAAGTTTATAGTTTCTTGGTTCTTTTTTCTTTCCTATAAATTCTATTTTTTTGTAAGATGTTATCTGACCAATTTTTTACTAAAAGGTACACAACCTACTCGTCAGAAGGGGAAAACACAACAGAATACACAATAAAAAGACAGCAGGGAGAGTAGGGGCTGAAAAGTAAGCCTGTGCTGGTGTGGCAAGCCCACAACACCGACCTATGGTCTCGGCGTTAACGTGGGCTTGCGCGCCATAGCCTAAAAGAAGAGGGTGCATTAGTGCGATAAAAGACAATAGAAGGTGAGGTTAAATGGTTGAGAAGAGAGAGAGAGAGAGAGAGAGAGAGAGAGAGAGAGAATGCGCTTTGTAGGTTTTCAGCAACTGGCGCACCCCTGTAGAAAGCCACGTTTGTCGTTTTCGTCGTTTTCGCGCTCCTTCTCCTGTGTACAACTTTGCTTTTGTACCGGGTCATCGTACATAGCATCAGCACCAGCATTGTTTTTGAATTTCCCGGTCTTTTCCAGCGCATGGCACGCGCTTTGGTACGACAACGTCACGTGCTGGTCGCGTGAAAACGTCATCTATGCAGACCGAAAAGTGTAGTGTGGTTGCGTACCGACTTGCACTGAGATATGCATGAAAATGTGTACTGTGATTTTTACGTAGTGTGGTTGCGGCCTTAAGTAGTTGGAAGCGCCTGGAGGGAGAACATTTTCCAGTTGGTAGGGATGGGAAGCAGACTGTTGGCATTGTCTCCGGGTTACAGATGCGACATGGTGTACAAGGGGGGACCATGGATCTCAGCAGAGGAGGACCTGGCTGGCCCAGCAGCTTGTAGATGAGTCAGCGTCGCCACTGGTCGGGTCTCGAGGCTCTGTAGCAAGATGTTGGGTCCCAGGATATGGAGGGTCCACCTCTGCACTCTGTTAAGGTGTTCAAGGTTGGTGGGAGCAGCTCCCATTCACACAAGGGGAGCGTACTCGAGCATGCGCCGGACGAAGCTGTGATACACGGCCAGTATGCCACGGCAGTCCAGAACGCGAGCAGCTCTACGTAGGAGGCCAAGACGTGAGTTTGCCCTGGCAGCAACTGACCGGAGATGTGTGGAAAAGGATAGCTTGGAGTCAACCATAACTCCGAGGAGTTTCAGGTGTGGCTGCTGTGGGATGACCTCCCCTCCGAAGTTTATTCAGTATTGTGGGGATAGGCCAAGGCTGTCGATGGCAGGACATTCGTAGGAGATGCGACCTGGATGGTTCAAATTGAAAATGCCACTTTGTTCCCCATGCATGTAACGCATTGACGGAAGCTTGGAGACTGTCAGCTTGGTGTATGGCATCGTCGCGTGTTTTGACGCAGGCATACAGCGTGGTGCCGTCTGCAAATGTTCCCATTTCAGACCCTGGAGCCAGGCAGCTATCAGCATCATTTACAACTACTTGGAACAGGGACGGTCCAAGGATGCTGCCTTGTGGCACACCTGCAGAGATCGGATAGCGATCGGAGCTCTTGCCGCCAATGACCACTTCCAGCAAACGGCCTGTTAGGTAGTCTCTAAGCCAGTCCAGGAGGGCGCCCTTCACACCGATGTTCTGCAACTTGTGCAGTACACCTGCGTGGGAAACTTTGTCAAAAGCCCCGGCGAGGTCGGCAGCAAGCACATCCACAGATCCACCAAGGCCAGATGTGACCGACCACTTGTGGGGTAGTCCCGTAAGTAGATCGGATAGACCTAGACCTCGGCGAAAGCCAAATTGCCTGGTGACAGGAGGCTTTGTCCCTCCAGAAAGTTCATTCACTGGCGGCTGATGATGGATTCCATTACTTTGGAACATATAGAGAGCAGCGAGACTGGTCGTTAATTCTTTTCAGCGGATTTGGAGGACTTTTGTATACTGGAACTACTCGGGCAACCTTCCATGCCTGTGGTTGGTGGCCAGTATTGAAAGACAGGGATAAGAGGCTTGCTAGGGGCCCTGCAAGCTCAGTCGCGCATTCCTTGAGTACCCTAGCTGGGATATTGTCCGGTCCAGTGGCTTTGGATGAGTCACGGCGAGTCTTGCCAGATGTCGTCTTACTGTGTCAGACCCGAAATGGATCCTTGTGACTGCTGGAGTTTCACTGTTGCCAGAGGCAGCATGCAGGCTGTCCACTGAGATGTCGGAGGCAAGACTGCATTTCTTGGAAAGAAAGAGCCAAAGCAGTTTGCCTTTGCCAGGTTGGTTGCGCATTCCTGCCCATGCGCATCAATCAGGGTTGGGATATCAGAGGAGCGCTTAACATCAGCGACTGATTTCATCACCGACCAACACTGTTTGTCACGCAGATTGCCCACACAGAGCTTAGCCTGGACACACCGTTCCCAAGCTAGGCGGGCCCTGTCCATCACAGTTGAGGCATGGTTGACTCATTGCAAAAATGTCTGCTTCAGAGGCTCAGAAGATGGAAATCTCCTCCAGCGCCACCAGGCCTGTTTCTTGAGAACTACTACTGTAACATCCAGACATTCTGGGTTCCACCACGGAGGGTCAGAGGGTGTTGTAGTGTATTGCTTGCACGGGATAAATCGGTCCTATCCTATTGGTACCTAATGTTCTGCAAGGATGTTAGGAAATGAACTTCCCTGTAACAAGACGGCAACGTCTGTAGGGCCTTCCCTATCAAAATAATAAATCCTACTACTACTACTACTACTACTACTACTACTACTACTACTACTACTACTACTACTACTACTACTACTACTACTACTACTACTACTACTACTACTACTACTACTACTACTACTACTACTACTACTACTACTACGGTTCTTTTTCCCGCAGTTCTATCTGCAACATATTCAGTTACCTTCCGTGACTTCTTTCACTTGTGATTTTTCTCCTCGCTACCCATTACATGTATTATTAAATCTGTCATGTCGCTCACATGTATAAAAGAAGGCGCCATCGCCTGTTTGTGTTGCGACTTTATACAAAATTCAACAACAAATTCAGCAACTATGCAGCACATTTGACCACTAACCTGTACTCGTCCAATGTAGGTCTCAGGGAGATGAGCACGGCCGGCCAAATACTACGAAAGCAATAAGTACAGGCATGTACACTTATGTACAATGTAGCAAGAAAGTTGTGAACGGAGATTGATGTACAATGTATCAAGAAAGTTGTGAACGGAGATTGATGAACACTGTACATGTAACTTCATTTTGCGAGACCTGTGGCAATACGCCCAGTGGGAAGGCAGATTCTGCCTGTGCTTCTGGTGAAGTAAAATAAGTATATAAACAACACATCGTAGATCTACGGAGGGCATTATGGCTGATTTATGCCCTAGTGCGTAGCCCGAGGTCGTGCACCGTAGTCCAAAGGCCGCAATTGCGCAACCCGCGGGCTACGGTGCACGACCGAGGGCTACGCACTAGGGCATTCAATCAGCCATATATTTTTTATATGCACGACGCACCATGCATGTGTTTATTATAGTTCATACATGCCACGTGCCTAGTCTAGTAGTTGTAGTCATAAAAGGGCATCTGTACATCAGTTCAAAGTCCAACATTCTTGTACCAAGAGTTCCCACCTACCATCCAAAAATGGTACTCTTCAAAGACCCTTTAGCGCGATTACACCAACAACCACATGGTAGCAAGAGTACATAACCCCAGGGTTATGTACTCTTGATGGTAGATCTACGGCCACAGCAGACTTTTATTCAATCACCAGATCACTGCAATTACTTGTAATCATTTACAAGTAGTAGTGATATTGATAGTAAGGACGTTTTAGCAACGCGAAAGTTCGAAAGAAAATTCGAGTCTGGGAATGAGTACAGAAACAAAGGTCGAAACTTCGAAAACTTGGACGCGAAGTAAGTTGCAGTGATTAGGGAGGTTCCGGAGTACGATTTTTCGTGCCAAAATCCGTGGAGGCTCTACGGATTTTTTATACGTCGTTTTCGAGCAGTGAAAAGTTCCGGGGTACGGAACTTATGTGTTTGCCGTCATTGCCTAGGTTACGATCGCAAACACGTCACATTAATAGTACATTCCCGCGCTATGCTTTTATTTTGAAAATTTGTACCGAAATCAAAACTTCCCGCGAAAAATCGATGTTTCTCGCACCAAATTTGTACGCGAAAAATCTTTCTGCACCCGATGACGCAAAATCTCCATACGAAGCATGGTTCGTATGAAAGCCAGTCCACACGGATTCTCGTGCCGAAAAATCGTATGGAGCACGCCTGGAAAAAATCCGTAGCGCCCATACGGATTTTGGCACGGAAAATCGTACCCCGGAACCTCTCTATTTGCGAAAGTAACTTTCTCTTTTCTCAGTACGCATTTCACTACAGGGAGTAGTAATTTTACAGCCCCCTGCTTGAGACTGAGCTGCATATACGGTACGGTACTATAGTATAAAATTCAAATAGCTTCGAGAAAAAGTCGTTTCGCATGCGAAAGGCTGAAAGCGGGATTCACAGAAGCTTTTTTGTGATGCGACACGCGATGCGACAGGCGCGAAACCGGGAAAACCCCAAATCGCAGCCATGTCGCGGCCCACGCAACTGCCGCAACTGGGCCATCGCAGAAGTTGAGCTTGGCTCAACTTTTGCGATGCGATGCGATGCGACAAGCGATTTGGTGTACGATTTTGACCTTTTCTACAGCAAAGTTGTACAAAGGTGCAAGAGTTGCCTATAAATTTTTACAAGTTGTGTCAAACCGCGCGAATATCATGGTGACGTACCCAAATCAGCAAAACTTTGTCGCATCGCTGACTTCTTCTGTGAATGGTATTTCGCGAGTTCGCATCGCACGCATCCATCGCAGATCGCGTCGCATCGCGTATCGCATCGCAAAAAAGCTTCTGTGAATCCCGCTTAAAGGGACAAGCCCAACTTTTTTTGCGGATTTTCTGTCATAAAAAATAAACGTCACAGGCTAGCTCTTCGTAGGTGTCCGCGTCCCAGCGGTCCGGGCAAGCGACCGCACCTCAGTGGGACACTTGGCCGTGGCTTTTGTACTGCAATCTGCAAGAGCCTTTCCAGGGGTACTGTAGTACACACCTGGCCTGGGTACCGGGTATGGACGAATCCCTGGTGTTGATCCTTTTTTGTTCCTTTCCTTTTTATTTGTTTTTTGCTGAGAAAGAAACGTTGCTGTTTCTGTTCCCGCCAGCGCCTTTGCTCTACAGTCAGTTTCAAAAAGATTAGCAATCCTGGTGATCGCCCGGGGAGTTTGCCGTCTTACCGTATGAGCGCTCGAGCGCTGCCTGGAAAAACTCACTGTGAACTCGAAGAAATATTCCGCGCGAAAGCATGAAAAATGACAACTCACTCAGGTCGATGTCGGTACAGTCGTCAGTCGTCTGGTTCACAACAAACGAGTTCTTCCTCGTATCAAGAGTAGATAAACAGGTTCTGTACTCTTGCTCGTATCGATTATGGAGTCAGAGAGGCCATGTCGAAAGTGTAGTAAATGCCAAGGCTGACGAGCGGCATGGGTCCCAATATGTTTTGTGACCAAATAGTTTCTTTGAGCTGCGATGCAATTTACTCTCACCATATGACTTCGACAACATTTTGAGAAAAGCAGACGCCTGTGGAAGCTGATAGAAGACGGCGTTGACTTCTAAATTCAAATATATTGGCGATCTTGAAATACTAAAATAATTCTCAAAAAGAAATCGATCGATCGATGTGCCGGTGTATTCAACACGTAGCTACAGCGCAATGACTTCCGTATTCACTCACACCGTTTCAGTGTTGTGGGTGTGTTCACATGGCGTGAGCCAGTCAAGTGTCAGTTAATTCGGGAGGATGCGGGAGCTCCAACAACAACAATCGTGAACAACAACATGACAAGTCTGCTTGATCACCAAAAAACAATGAAAAAAAGTGTGAGTTGAAGATAGGTTGGGATTTGAACTCACAACTTCATGGTCAGCAGACAGCATCCATAACCACAAGGCCAGAAAGGAAAAGATAAATCGTGGGTTTTGATAGAAAAATCGATACTGGCTTCCAGGGCAAATTGCAAACCATGGGAAAAGGCCGGAAACCTGGCCGAAATTCTAACTCCTTAACGGCTGGTCCAATTGTTCCGAAACCTTCACAGAACAATTTGCCGTGCCCTAACCAGCCCTTTTATGTACTTCGTTGTCCAATTTTCCCTTATCTTCATACTTTTTAAGACCAAAACCTGATTGCTAATCTTTTTGAAACAGACTATAGTAAAACATTGCTGGCTGATAAATGGTCATTGCTCGTGATGCCAAAGGTGAAGGGAAGCTGGGTTTCTTGCCATTTGCAACTCCCTGTCTCTGAAAATGTAGCTTATAGCTCCGAGTATGTTAGTTTTTCGACGTGCCAGACCTATTGGTATGAGCTGCAGAGATGAGGAGCAACGAAGGCGTTGGATTAATGCGTTGGATTGATGCCAATAATGGTGTTTATGGCCGGACAACGCCAGCGGTTTTCACTTGTCAGGAGGACAGTCAAGTTGGAGCAGGCAGATGACAGATTATTAATTTTGGCGCATTTTTTTGCAGAGTGGGTGGCTTGCCGAAGAGAATCATCTCAGTACCTCATGGTTACTAGTATCTGACAAATGCCTCTTATTGCTAGTCTGCATTAGAGCATAGCAGAATTGGTCATGTCACAAGTACTAGTAGTGTCAAGACTTGATGTGCTACGATTGTACTCAGATCATGTGGCAACTTCACGGTAATTCGTCCTGCCACTTTACGCTCTCCCGGAATTCCCTGCAGAAGTCACGTGCCTGTGCAGGGGACAACGTGTTTGCATTGCTTACTGATGCAAGCGGATGGAGTGCAGAGCAGATAAGAAGACATAATCTGGCTATTCAAATAGCTTCGGCTGCTATTAATTGGCTGGACTCCTGGAAACGTGGGCAAGAATCTAAACCAGTCCACGGAAACGATGTGACGCCACACAGGAAGCTAAATGGCAAACCAATCAAGTTATTTGGTAATGAAACCTTTCACCAATGTTGTCCGGTTTCATGCCTAGTGTCACTCACACAAGACCAATGGATGCCACATGTACCTAAAAGATACGCTGTTGATCAACCACAACTCCAATACCACTGAGCAGCGTCTTCTATACAGATCCAATTAGATATTGAAGTATATGAGTCGAAGTTGCTGGTATAGTCTCTCCTAATGACCGCGTATTTGGCATAATTTTCTCTATACTGCACTCTAGAGCTACTTACCTTTTCCGACATTGAACTCAGGCAGTGACCACTCGCCCACAGAATGAGCCAATTGACACAGACACCAAGTACCATGTGCATTCGTCGCAAGAGAGACACGCAAGTTTGCAAGTGCAGTGGATGTACACCCACTGATTTTCTCTTATGCCAACGATATCAGACATGACCTGAGTGAAACTAGCACCGCATTACTGCCCAATTCCGTAATTATAATTATTGCGATGCCTTGTGAAAGGATTCTCAATGCACACCTGGTCTACGCCACACGGAATACATCGGATGATAATGACCAAGACAGCTGCCTATGTCTCTCTCTTTCCCTCTCTCTCTCTCTCTCTCTCTCTCTCTCTCTCTCTCTCTCTCTCTCTCTCTCTCTCTCTCTCTCTCCCCCCCCCTCTCTCTCTCTCTCTCTCTCTCTCTCTATCTATCTATCTTCATCTATATCTATCTATCTATCCAATCTGGGGACAGAACTGTTTCGTCCTTTGTGGACTCATTAGCACAGCACAGAGAAATGAGGCCGAACCTGATTGCAATGAAAAATAAATTCCAAAGCCATATTTAAACCAGGGCCGAATATACTGTGCCAAAAATATCTCTCTATCTATCTCTATCTCTTTATCTCCTTGAGGGCACACTGGGTCCCCTGTTTTCGCAATTCTCCACCTATCAACTCCCTTCTGTGTTTGTGTGTGTGTGTGCGTGCACGGGTGCAGGGTATATGCGCACATATCTTTCCTTCTCTTCCTGTCTTTACCTGGTTTGTGAATCGGCTTTTTGATCGTATTTTTTCGGCTCACTGTTTTATGAGTTCACCTCATTATTGCACACAGGCAAGCAGTCAGGCAGCATTACAACAAATCAGCTTTGCTTCACTCCTGTACAGTAGTGTCTACTACACTCTGCTTTCGCCGCATTCG